TTTTTTCATGAAAAAAGTGTGCCTTTGCATAAAAAAGGTTGAAAAACACTGCTATATGCTATATGCTATGCTATAAATCCTATCTGTACGTACTTTTATATTTTTACAGATATGGCATAAGATTTTATTCCATCTACACTGAAATATATATATATTATGCATAATATGGATATAGTGCAAACAATTTTGCTTTCTTGTGTACTGTTTACTCATACTTTTCTGTATAAATAAAAGAACTTTATTGTGCACAAATATTTTTCTCTAGATAACACGTTTTCTTCCATATAGTTTCACCTTTCTTTATCCTTTATGTAGTATCCCTATACACGCCCATATACAAATACATCTTTGCTATATATATGTTTGTTTATTTTCATTTACAGGATTATTTTTCTACTTTTTAAAAAAGATTTCCCAGTATATGCAAATATAAATACCTGTCTGTCTGCATTTTTGCTTTACTTGTATTAATATACAAGTAATTCTGTTTATGTGTGTATACATTGAATTATTGAATTATTTGTCAGTGCACAACCATTTTACTGTATAAACATATACAGTATACACACTCACATTATATTACACACACACATACACATATATTATAATGTGATTTCGCATCTTTCATATATTATTTTGAACCTGCAGTCTGAAAACTATATATCAAACGTGTTTCAATAGAAAATAACTTAAATTTAAAAACGCAAAAATGAAATACGAAGCACACCCGAATTTCATTTGCACCGATTTAAGGAAAAGTAATTTTTCCCCCCACTCTTCATTTCTGCCTCGGGCTTATTGCAAACTGCTTAATGGCTTTAATTGACGTGCGCCATTGAAAAACGGAACCCGCATTCACGTCGCCCCGTCTCTCTTTTCTGCCTCTCCCCTCTCTATTTTCATAGCTCTACGCGGGCCCGCCGCCGACTCCCCCCTCTTCCTTCCACTTCTATCGCCTCGACTTCCGGTCCGGAAAGCGGACGTGAGAGGACCCCGCATGCGCAGTGCCGCCGCTTCCCCCTGCAGCTGCCCGGGCGCTTCTTCCGGCCTCCCCAATCCCTGTTGAGGCTCCAGCGCCGAGAGTCCCACTCGGCTCCTTAAAGGCCCAGCGGGGCTGACCCTTGACCCCGGAAGTGAACGAGTCCCGGACCCGTTTGACGCCTGGGTCGCCCAGGGGAGGGAAGGGTGGTTCGAGGATCCATGCTGCGCCCCCCAATTTCCCCAGGGGACCCCCGGGAATTGGAAGCCGGCTCTCCCCCCTGGCCCTTAGCACCCCCAATCCTGGCAGAGGCTCCCATGGCCCAGGCCTGGAGGGGCCTCCCCTTGTAGGCAGTGTTGGGGGGCTGTGGTCACCCCTGCTGCCTGGGATCCCCTTTTGGGGGGCGGCCTCCCCTCCCAGCCCTTGTCTGGCTACCCCTGGGTCCTTCTCCGAGCACCCCCATGGCCTGAGCGGCGGGGCTGCGAAAGAGCCAGAAGGGGGTGTCTCAAATTGTGAGGGGGCTTCCTTTCCACCTGCCAGCCCTGCAGGGTCGACCCAGGCCCCTGGAGAGCCGTTGGCAGCCCGGGAAGGGCTGGTGGGGGGGCTCCCCAGCCGGGGAGAGGCAGGTACTGGATTCCCCAGCCCTTCCAGATCATGGGACTCAAGCTGCCTTAATGAAGGCCCCTGGGAGCGCCAGCTGGCCAGTGGTGTTCCCTCGGGAGGAGGAGGAGGAAGAGGAGGAGGAAGAGGGCGAAGAAGAAGGAGGAGGAGAGGCAGCCCCACCGTGGATATGGGGTCGCAGGTCCTGCAGATCTTACGCCAGGGCGTCTGGGCTTCGCTGACCGGCGGCTGGTTCTTCGACCCGCATCAGAGCACTTTCTCCAACTGCTTTCACCTCTACACTTGGATCTTTCTGCTCGTCCTCCCTTTCCTGCTCTACATGGTGAGTCTGGGGGTTGGGGGTTGGAGGGCGCAGCATTAACAGCATTATGGGCCCCCGGGCAAAGCAGTGTACCCGGGCCCCTACGGTGACAACTCGCAGGAATTAAAATGTAAATTGTTCTGATCTAGGCTTCCCGAGAGCATGCAGCAAACTCCTTGTCCTGACAAAAAGCCCTTTTATTAATTGACTGTGAATTCTGCTCATTCACCTCCAGCAAAGTCTTTCAAGGGAGGATTTACAGTCAC